GCCTCTGTAGGGCTTCTAGTTGATTTATATGAACCTGATAGTAGGGACTCCACACGACAGATGCATATTCCAGCCTAGATCGAACAAAAGTGAAATAAAGTAATTTCAATGTTGAAGCTTTTTCGAAGTCTTTTGTATTTCTAACTAAGAATCCATACATGCAATAAACTGCTGTTAGAGTAGTGACAATATGTTTATTGAAAGAGAGGGATGAATCAAAAGTAACACCAAGATCAGTGAGTGTGTCAGCACGCTTCAGAACTTGACTGTTTATGACGTAGTTGTGTAAATTCAAAATCGTTTTCAATGAGTAAGATATTACATTACATTTGGATATGTTGAGAGATAGATTATTCTTCTGACACCATGTAGCAACGCGATTTAAATTCAGGGCGAGACGTTCGCAATCATTAGAGCATGTTATATTGTGATAGAGTTTCAAGTCATCTGCGTATAAAAGAAAATTGACATCAATGTCAGCTCCGATATCATTAATGAACACACCGAACAGTAGGGGTCCTAGAATTGATCGTTGTGGTACACCAGATGTGGCTATATATTCGATAGACTTGAGGCCATTAAGTTGGACGTACTGCTTACGGTTGTGAAAATACGATTTGAAGAGGGTAATTAATTCATTGGATAACCCAAAAGTCGAAAGCTTGTTGAGCGGGATACTACGGTCAAGACTGTTGAACGCTTTAGAAAAATCAGTGTAGATGACATCAGTCTGAGACTGACAATCAATACCCTCTGCAATACATTGAGTGATTGTTACAAGATTGGTGGTAGTTGAACGTCCTTTCATGAAACCGTGTTGATTGGGGCTGATAATGTTGCTGACATGACAATAGATTGTCTTTTCAATAAGTATCTCAAACACTTAACAAAAATTGCATATGATAGAAATTGGCCTGTAATTTTTGTATCTCCTTTTTAGAAAATTGGGCAGACTTTCGACATTTTCCATATTGATAGTACAGTTGATGTTTTCAGGCATATATTAATTAGAGTTGTTAGTTGTTCAACCAGAGCTGAGGCACAATCTTTATTGATGAATGCTTGAATATGATCAGGTCCCGCAGTAAATTTAGGCTTTAATTTTTTCGGGGTATGATAAACATCTTCAATACTAAAGTTTTTGATTACTAAGATGCGAATATCACTACTGTTTCGCATGGTCACTTGATGTTGACAGTATATAAGAACCACTGAAGAAATCTGCAGAACCGTCAAGAATATCTGAGGGATTATCGAGTAGCTTGCCTTCATGTAACATTTTATTTCCGATTCCATTCGTATATTTTGACTTGTTAATGAATGACCAAAACTTGGGGTTCTCTGAATGAATTTTTTATAAACTATTCTAATGGCTGCTTTGATTTCTACACGAAGACGTTTGAATTCGTGAAAAGCGTGAATGTCGCCGTTTCTTTTGTATTCAAACCAAAATTTTGTTTTAGTTCGAATTTTCTGTATCAATGCAATCAAAGTAGGCTGGATAATTACTTTTAGATTTTATCGAGAATTTTGGCACGCAGCGATCAAATACACTGTATAATTTTTCATAAAAGTGAAGACAGGCATCATCTGCATTGCGAAACGCATTTAGAAACATCCAATCGAGATTGAGGATCAGCTCATACATGAGTGAAAAGTTAGCTTTTTTAAAATTGTATGCATCTTGGAAACGTTTTGCAACAAGCAATAAGCCGAAAAACTCTGACATGTTCAACAAAGTAGTATGCGGGCTACTACGATCTGTTTCTAAATACGACTTATGGATAATCCTGCCAATGTGAGGTTTACAAAATTAATAATGAGATATATAGGGTGTAACTGAATAAGTGTAAAACATTTAAGGAGGTGATTCCTCATCGAAAGATAGCATCTTTCATATAAAGAAACTTCATTGGAGCATCCCTTGTTAAGATACAGCCCCTTAAAGAGGGTACATAAAATTTGTTTAACAATTTTTTCACAAGCACTGAAAAAGTTACAATATTGAAATTAACCTTACGTTTTGTACTACCAAAAAGACGCTTATCCAGTAATTCATTTGGTTAACCCTATGGTTGTAAGGGGTGGAAAACGCAACCACTAAAATTGATTTCCAATGTAACTTTTTGTCTTATTATTTGTTTACCATTTAAAAATTCATTTCCGATAGCCNTAAGTGTCTTTTTGGTAGTACAAAACGTCAGGTTGATTTCAATATTGTAACTTTTTTAGTGCTTGTGAAAAAAATTGTTATACAAATTTCATGTACCACTTTAAGGGGCTGTATCTTAACAAGGGATGCTCCAATGAAATTTCTTTATATGAAAGATCCTATCTTTTTTTCTATGAGGAATCACCTCCTTGAATGTTTTACACTTATTTAGTTACACCCTGTATACACAGCTTGGCTCCAGAGCAAATGATGGAATAAGTGGAAGAAAAAGCTTTCGAGAAAAATTAAAAATCTCATTTATTAATATTTGTAGAGTATAATGGTTAACCACAAATTGTGGTGACTTATGGAATATCAGAATTTTGGGATGAAATCGATAAAGGAAGAGGTAGGAAACGTCAATTACCCCGGTAGATGAGAAAATATACAAAACAAGTTCAATCAAAAACTAGATTTCTTCAGAATAACCGGAACGCGATGCTGGTACAGCAAATAAATAAATCTCTTGTAGGGCAATTACCATGAAAATACGTATGTTCCACGGTAAGCAGATTTGCATTCAAACAATTTTATTTATAGAAATCTCGGTAATATTTTTCTCAGAACAACAATAAGATTGCTATTCATGTATGCAACGGCAGGTGGTCGACAGTGTGAGATCGAGGAAGAGAAACTAAGAGATAAACAAAGCAATTTGCTCATTGTGTGTACACACAAGTACAGTGGATGCATTTGCTACCGGATCTCCAGAAATGACTGTATCAAGAAAAACAGCAGGAAGATATCAGCTATCGAGACTGGTGATAGGTGAATTATTAATCAGATGGACACAGGAATAAAATTTATTAATAACACCAACAAAAACGACAAACGAAAATGACAGTTCAACCTCGTGGCGAAGAGAAACAGAATTAGGATTAGTTCCCGGCCGAAATCCCTGAACAAAATGCCTCAGCTTAGAAACGTGTTCGAAGTAACTTTCTCACTGACAATAGTCGAGTCATGAATATAGTCAAGAAGGATCAACCACTTGAGCCCTTGTCTCAACCCATAAAAGTGTTAACAATGAGTACCTACTCGAAACATCCCATGTGGTTTCGTTCTAAATATCCATCTGTTTTTTTGGCAATACACTCTATTTTCGAGAAAAGAGGGAATTTCAATGATATGCGATGAAAAAAATACAAAAATGCTGAGTAAATATTAAAATAAATGAATTAACACAAAAAACCCAAGCAGATGGATATTTTGGACGACTGCTCGAAGGAAGTTTATTCAACATATACGCAGTTCTCCAAATAAAATAGTTCTGCTCGCTGTTGAAGACTTCTGGATTCTTTACTCTATGTTTACATCTTTCTTCACTAAAATGGTACTTTTCAACATAGAGCACATGCTCCGCAAGGTAGTGGATTTGACAGTTTCAGATGTTTGCGCCAAA